TGATATGGTATAGACTGGGTTTAACGACTTGGAGAATCACATTTCCATAATCTGTTAAGCACGCCTTCCACTGGTCCCATGCATTCCGAGATTCGGTTCTTGTTTGAACCGAGTGATTAGTCCTACTGTGTGGTTGCGACGTGGCACAACTTATATGTAGGGCTGCTTCCGATTTGTGTATATATTTTTCTGCTTTGATTGTCACCTCGAATAACGGCTAAACTGATCCGTTTAATTTTTGTCACAGCCATACTATGGGCACAGTATAAGTAGGCCGCTGACAACATGATAACTCGGATGTGGTCCCGCCGAACACTACACATTTCGAAGCCAGATGGCTGCAAGCACATTAACCACGCCCACATGAGGTGCATCAGAATATGCCGCTATGCTCTTCGTCAAGTTAGTTGAGATGTGAGTGACTCATCGCAGGGGATATGTACCGCATGGCGGGATTTAAATGGCTGTCCTTTTATGCCAATAACATTTTGGTGGTATCGCAGCACGCGTTCTGCTTTTTCGGTGGCCTACGCAAAAGTTGAAATGTGCATACGATTTGTCTGCAGCGTCCTCTTATTAAGAACTGGCATAAGGAATTTAGTTTCATGACTCCTTACTGTTTTGACAGTGATAACTTTTCAAGGGATTTACAACTCATTTGCTTGATGGTGGATTACAGACCAACCTTAAATCCACTACGCTCACATTGCGATGGTACGCAAAATATTCTCTCCTTACTGCACTTTTTTCGTTTCAGGGAGAACAACGTCGAACCTGACAAATAGTAGGTGTTACTATTTCGTACACCTACATTTCACGATCGGTTTGATAAGTATGTGCATTCGTCAGGTAGAGCGAACAAAACTACGGCTGTTGTGACAATATTTGTCTACTGCTATTCGGTGGCATACGGTTAAATATTCTTGATGGCACCCCATGTACCGTGGGAGGGTCCTAGCATATTGGATGGAGGAAACAAATGTAGGAGTCAGATAGCCAACAGGAAATAAACATGGTTGCTTCGATCACTTGACGCCTATTGGTCTTTATCCGTATGCGCTAGAGTGGGACCCGTGTAGTTTCTCAGTCAAATAAGGAATTTTAGCGGCCCATAAATGTTGTGGTTTGTGGAATTTCATGGACACACAACAAGGAATTATTCTTCGCGTCAAACGCTGCCGACTTAACGTCGCGGCTTAAACGGTTGTCCTTGAAGTATTGAAAACAACGTAGTGGGCTCGAGTCACACTGCAGCTTTTACCACCTGATCAGTGCGCAAGGGTACGAAACCGGCTGTAAAGTGCCGAGGGTATCACCTGACATTTATCTGATTGCACATAGTACCAGTGACTTAATTGACCGGGGTTTCTCTAAGGTTGAGCGTAGGTCCCGATTGAGATGGCATATTGTACTCCATTCACTAAATGAGCGCCTGAAAATAACCAATCTAACCTAGACCTTATATCTGACTAGACATTGTGTCCACTGCCTCGTGTGTGGTCACAATCGAGTGTCGATTCCTGTGTATTCCTTAATTTTCGTCCACACTCCTTCCACTATCGCGTTTGTCCTCTAATCTGTGCGACGCAGTTTGTTTGTAGGTAAAATGAGCGATTCGGCGAGAGAGTGAGAGAGAAGAGCACAAAGTGATGCGGCCGCACAACACACTGTTTAACATTATAGGAAGCAGAGAGAAAAGGAACCAACCTATAGGCATCGAAATCTTGTCCATGTGTCAGGAATGCAAGACACAGTCCCAAGCTGCTTTACTTTGAATCTAACCTGAGTCATCCCGGCCATTGGAACTATCGGATGCGGATAGCGTTCAGAGTTATCTGGTCCCTACAATGTACCAAGCGAGGTTTGTCTGCTTTTACGCTTCAGCTAGGGGCAGCCTGAAGTGCAAACGGAACTCGGGATGGGCCTATTGTCGACCGACATCTTAAGAACTGGGCAATTGAGCGCCGCAAACAGCGCTTCGTACACTGGTCGGAAATTCACGGTGGAACAGTTGGGAACCCATCGGGCATTAGCATTGCGTTATGCCATCTCATTTGAGGCCATGTTTAATGATGAGTTTGACTTTGGCCGGTTCGAGCACTGAAAAAAATGCGACGTAGAGTTTCGATGTTGCTCGTCCCCAACACTGTATCTCACGGCCAATTTCGTCCGAATTCGCGTGTCGGGGAAATGCCGTGGTCTACGACTGAGATCTCGGCCCGTTGTGATTGGCGGCTGACATCTTGATTATCCGGATATTGAGTACTGCTGGTAATATTTTGAGAGACCATATTAACAAGCCAACTCATGTACTCCATTGGCCATATGAACAAATTCAACCAGTGATCACCAATGCATAAGTATACCAAGAAGAACAAATCCTCGGTGTCAGTTTTCCTCTGCTCAGACCTTGATAAGCTGTCACTTACTTAACGTCGATTAATTCGTTGCGGTTGAATTATGATCAATTCAAAATTCACCTATTGAATGATCCGGTAATTTCAATTCTCAATCTAACATCCTTCTTATCTATGCTATGAAAATGTCATTAGCATTTGGGAACAAGTTAACATGCACAACCGTATGGTACGTACACGAGTGAGTGGTTGAAAGTTGGCGAAGCCGATGTCTTCCACATTGATAACATCAATGACAAACTTCACCCCTTATTTCCGATAGCAAGCAGCAATCCTCGGATGATGTCCCCGCTAGGGAAGATCAGTACGTACTAATTCATATGTCACACAGGAGTCGAGACGGTTTTGTCCATTGCCAGGCGACGTTTCTTGGTTTACTCTTCTTGGCCTTCAGTAGATTGACAGAGTCTATGAGGCTGTTTGTGTCACGCAGTTAGGAATCGCTAGCCGTGAACTGGTTCACTTTTTATGTGCTGCATTTCACGTCACAGCTCCCATCCACCCGACCGAGGTTACAGAGCCTCCTTTTGGGTGAATCTGATCCTCAACAATGAAATAAACGAAACTCGAGCTTCACTTTATCAAAAAGTAATGTCCAGAAGCAGTGCGTAGGAGATTTTTACGCCACAGTGCCCTAGACTAAATTACCAAGGTGCCATGAAGACTAGCGGAGGATACTGTAACCGTTTGATCCTACGGACGAAACAAGCTGCCACTGCTAGTAAAGTGCCACGTGCATTTCACTCTCTCCTGTGTACTAGATCTGCCACGAATTCAAGAGTATCATTGGGATTCTTATCCGTCCAGTAGTACTGTAACCCACTCCTTAGAACCAAGGCGAGCTTCATGTTGTTCCGTTGCTACCTGTTTAATTTGCTGAAGGCCACGCATGCTAGGCAGAGCTGCGACACCCAGACCCCGATATGAATGAAAATAACGTATAGCATTCTGTTTGTTGTCCGTGTGGACCAAATTGCACATACCAGAATTCGCCGTCATGTTCGAACACGAGGCCAATTCGTTTTCGCTCCGATGCAGATATGCCGTTCCACTCATTCGACCGATCGCTCCATGGGCCGTACCATTCTCTATCGTTACCCCACGGGTTACGTAGACGAAGAAGCTGTAGCTGTCGAGGTCCCTCGGCTTTACTCACCTGCAAAAAGACAAAAGTATAAAATAAGTTGGCGATTAGAGAATAATAAGGACCATTCGGTGGATTAGAACTTACGAATATTTGGTGGGGGGTAGATATGTGAAAGCAACAATTTGTGGAGCTAAATTAAATGTCTACAGAAATCTGCACAACTCTTCAGCAAATCGATTGACCTGTTGGCAACTTGAGAGCAATAGTGTTGAGAACGGAGGAGGGGTTAACTATACGAGAGGTTAAGGCTGGAGAATCTCAGTAGTACGTGATATCGAAGTTTTCAACTGGAAAATGTACACATATCTTGTTATCTTGATAAACCAACAAACGCAGATTGGATGACTGGTTCACAGTAGTGTCTCAGCTTATGCTTACCAACATTTGAGTAGAATCCTCGCGAATAAAGGGCAAATGTTTGTTGATGGTGAGTACAGCAGCACAGAGAATGAAGCATGTGCGATGCGATGCTAGCTAGCGAAGTACCACATGGGTACTGAATGCTGCATCGGCATGACAGGTCCAACTTTGACACCGTGTGTTTGTGTATGCGGTGGCCAGGGTTCAGACAAACTAAGTAAACGTCCAAGCCTACATTTGGCATCCGTCGCCAGATGTAATTGCAGAAAAGTAGTGGAGGCAGGTGAATGGAATAGGTGGAAATTCGTCACATCTAGACACTCAGACAGCCGTCACACGCCCGGAAATGCACTGTACGCGCGTTTCATCCTTTCGGGAATCGTCAGCAGTGCGCATTCCATCGGACCCTGGTAGGGCTCGAACCCGCAACTCGACTGTTGCCAGTCCGTGGTTGAGACCACTGAGCTACGGGGGACGGCAACGACCATCGTAAATAAGTTACTAGATGTGATATAGCGCCTTTCACTATCCCTGACTTACACGTACAAATGGCTGACCATTTTAGCTGCACTCCTGTGGGTATCTCAAGACTACTACTGAGCGACGCCATTAAACTCTGGTTTCTGTTATCAAACTGCCGTATGTCCAGTGCGTTATTCTCCGGATTTGTTGACATGTGTCCACTGTAGATAGTAACAAAATAGAAAAACGTGTAATTGGTGTGGCCATTAAATCGGCAGCTACTATTTTCCTCGAACAAGCTTTTTACCTTATATACGGTAAACAGATCAGTTTCGCAAGAATAATTTGGCAGATTCCTACTTCAAACGATTCCCAAGATCAGTGAGACTGTCCTACTCAATCCACCGTGTAAACACAACTGCTGATACTACATCCAATAATTGATTCATCTAGTTGGACACAAACAATTATGTCACATGAAACCATTTATGAAGTAACACTTTAAATAAAGTTTGCCCTATGTACTGGATGCAAATCCCGAGGGTTCTGTTCAGCATTGTGCGATTGTTGCTGTGGAGAACCAGGCCGTTTACCCAAGTGATGAAAGTGCACCGCTTTCATTTTGGTCTAAATCTCTGTACAATTTTGTATATTTCGGACCATTCGTACTTTCGCAGTTGATGATGCAAAATTATGAAAATATACCCACTAGGGTGCCTAATGCTTATGTTAACATGACTTGAAGCGGATGTCCGCAACTGCCCTCATCAAACAGCGTGTCACACGTCGTGATACGACTGAGTTCATGTCCACCATTCACCTAATTCAAAGCTGCATCTTTTGGTCATACCGTTATACGCCACATGCATCGGTGATCAGGTGTGCGCCATCAGTCTAATTCTTCGTGAATCAGCGGTCGCATTACTGACCCATACGCTAATTCAGGTAGCCAATCCGTGTGGCCAACTCTACACCCTAACAATAGGCTTATTTCCAAACGCAACCATAGGCGACGGTGGCCTCATAGGCCATACTGGTTCTAGCATTCTTTTCAACCACTCACTTGGTAATGCGATCCCCAGAGCTGTTGGAGATACCGTGGGAGCTAGGCAGCTTAGTACGTCATGACCTAGCGATTCCCCACTTACTGTAAAATAATCAAAAGTATTCGAACATTATAATTATCTTATGTATTAGGGGATAAGGCGATTTGCTCGCTTGAATGCTGCTTACATTTTTTGAGTCAAAACCACATGCATCCGCTACTTCTGCTCGCATGTGACCGGCCATTTTCCCACTCAGCACCCGTCCACATCTTCTGATGCCTTGGCTATTTTATGACCCCAGAATAAACCTTCCTCTATTAGTGTGATTATTATTATTATTGTGTTCTAACGCTCGCTTTCGATTCATCGTTTAACTGTGTATCGGATATGTAAAGGGCTATGGAAGCGCTATAGGTCGCCACGGAATGGTCACGACTTACTTGGAATGGGATACTTGCAAAATTTTAAATGTTAGGGAGCCTTTAACTTTACAGAGCCACTTATTAAGCAACTTTAATGTAGTGTCCAGTTGCCATAAGTACCATAGGTTCGGCCACGCTATCCAATTGATGAGTAACTAGAAAAAATACCAGGATGAAACAAGTTGTAAGAGGCCATTAATTTTATTTGGAAATGGGAGACCAAAAGACAAACATACACAGGGTGAACGAAAGATGGTAGAGTACAAGAAACAAACATCAAATGCGACCTACTGTATGGGGCTCGTACAAGCGCAAAAGCGATCCAGGAAGTGATCACATGCCTCTTAGGAGTTCGGCCTCTATTAGTAGGTGAGGACTTCTTGGATGAAAGAAAGCGACATTAGGGTCTAGAAGAAGCCCAATTGCAGGAGTTTGTGCATGTTTTAGATCAACACAAAGATACTGTTACACAAAACGCATAAGCAGTCACAGATGCGTGTCCAACACAGGTTGATAGAGGTGCAGGGAAAACGTGTCAGAACTGACTCACGTGAACAAACTGGAAAGGAAACACATTGAAAGTGTGATTATTATGAAGTCACTTAAAACATTTCTAACATTAAGACGGTCATCACAAAGCCGACATTAGCTCAACTTAACTCTTAACAGCCTGATTCCATATATATATATATATATATATATATATATATATATATATAACACATTCTATACAAAACATCAAGCACAATTAACTCAATGCTTTGACTCCAGTATATCCGTTTTATTGGAAACTATTAGTTCCTCCTCTGGTTTTGATCAGATACACAATATAGTTACGAAGACGCAACGGGTGCTTAAACGCTCAACACAAACTAACAACATGACGGCACTAGTTTTGGACATCGGAATATGGAGTTCTGAATCCTGGTTCTATCCAAACGCTTAACGAAATTTGCTGCGTTGAGGAGTTTCAGGTGGTAGCTGACAACTGGACCCACATAACCTCAAGCTAACCGGACATTCACATACAGTCGAATGCTTCGTGCCTTAGCCCATCAAAGCAGAAGTAACATCAGTTAGTTTGGTCTTAGGGTCCGTTGATGAGAAGGAATTGAACCTACTTCAACTGTGGCCATCTCGACAAACAACATTTGAATAACGTGAAGAACAGGCAGTCTGGTTGCCTTCTCTAAGGTGGAATAACACACAGGTGTTGCTGCATGTTCTGATCTACCAGAAATTTCCTTGTTGAAAGCTTGGCAAGTCGGATTACTGGGAACATAAAGTACAAAGAAGTGACAACTGCAATTTGCACAAACCATCGTTTCTTCCTTGGACTCCGAGTTTTATGGACAATGATCAATAACTTGCCACAATACACATGTCCAATTTCACTATTTGTTTCGTGTCTGAATATTCCCTCAGCTCTTAGTTTGAAAATACGCAACTACTAGTTTGCAATGTTTTGAACAGACTTTAAGGCACATACCTCTGCTTGATGCCTTGCGTTGTTTGCTGGCTTAGCTACTTTCCTTACTGCAGATCTACTCGAAATTAAAAGTCTGTAGGAAAATGTAAATACTGTATTTCATGATACTACCTGCTTTGCCCTATTGGATGCGAATTGCACTATGATACTGGTGGGTCTAACCAAACTTCCGTATATCCGCAACCGAATTTGGAAATACTGCCAGAGCAATTAAGCATGCATAATATAGTCGCAACTCGTAAAATTTAATCATCGATAGTGTGCCTCAAAACCGGTCTATTCTCTCAAATTCATGCGAATTTCCATTGAGGTTGGGGTCTACCCAGCAACTCGTCACCTAAGGACAGACAAAAGCTGCACAACGGACTCTACAAAACGGACAATTTGAAGTATGAGTTCGGAAAATGAGATAGCGGCTAGTGCTTACTCGCTTCACATCTGTAACCGAATAAGCGTGACCCAGTACTAAACCGAATGGACCATCAGCCTCCATCTGATCCGGGCTGGCGTCAATCGAGCATGCCATTAGGGATCGCCGTTCATTAGATTTCTCTATAATTCGAAAGAGATATGGTAGTGGATTGTAGGTGCCAAGCTCCAGAAACTCCGTCAGACCTCCTGTGAAATCTTCCATCGCCTCAGAAGTGTTCCCACCGTGCATCGCTTCGTAGCTACCAAGGAGTCTGAAAAAGGCAATAAATTACGGATCCTTGGAGTAGCCAGAAAGGAGTTGAAATAGTGTATTTGTTCATGGAATAATAACGACTCATTCACAAATTAGAGCAACTTCAGTGTGCACTGGACAGGCAGGGCCATTTACAGCAGCCTACTCGCGCCTGCATCTTACTTATGATTTATGAACGTCCAGGGATATCCAGTAGGGTACGTGCACGTCCAAAAATGGATACCGGTCAACAAACCACCCACTTCAGAGTACCAAAAGCGACCACGGGCGCTGAACAACTTTCGATTATTAAATAAAATACACACCAATTGTCTATCCCAAATAAATCTGTGAGTTGTACGCCTGCAGCAAATGGCTTTTTTCGATTGGTTCATCATTACGCCTATCACAGAGATGCACACTACAACATCCCGATTTCATGGGCAATCACTGTTTCAACCATATTAACTGGTACGCATAACGTACATCTACAAATGCAATGCAGCAATGAAGCTATGATATAAAACGGGCATATTCGTATGCCTGGCAAGCACCGTAAGGTGGTTAGTGAGAACATTTCAAGATGAACACTGAGTCGATAAAATAAGGTACATATTACAGGATTCACCAAGTTTTGCAAAAGCACGAATGTGAGTATTATTGCCTAGAATTTAATATATATATATATATATATATATATATATATATATATTTCACTGCTTGTTCTGCCGTTATGTAGCCACCGGATGGTGACGGGCAATATCACGAAATGTAAACGTGTCAGACTGTGCCGTCCATTCCTCTTTTGAATAGTGATAAGATGGGGGCAATCACTGGGTTTACTGGGAAGAACGTCTAGGGCTATGGCACTCAGGATGAGCAAACATTTCATCGACCTTCATCTCCGTTACATTGCGTGACCGGCCTGAACTGATGGCTGGGTTTCAAAAGATGGTAAAAAGTGTGGTCGGTGTTTTTAAGCATCTGACACGTTAGTATAAGATTTCTCCCACGGACGCCGATAACGCCCACATTCTTACCTTTTTCTGCTTAAGTTAGTAGGCGGTGGGACAAATCTTTAGCGTTTCTTGTCGCTGTTCCTTGTGCAGTCTCGGGTGCGGCGAGGTAATGCCTCTGCCAGCGTTGCACAGCGCATTTCACGTGCAGGTTCAAGTAAACGACAAAAATTTGCGGAAAGTTTGAGGCATCGAAGTTTCTCTACGAAGTAGACTAAACTGCTGATTTACCATTTTTGACGTCTTTTCGGTCTGCCTCAAACGACAAAGTTTATCGTACGGGAGCACACCGAGATTGCAGGCATGCGAAACGCGCTACAGTATTTGCGGCCCTAGTCGCTAGTCGTGACAACGCTCTTGGTGATGTTCAAAAGTATGCACTTGGACGCCTTGAACTGTAGCATGCTCGCAGTGAGTCATGTGTAAGTTCCATCCAGGTCACTTGGCAGGTTCTGTAATAATCCACTGTAGTGATAGTATGCTAATTTTTAAGATCGTCGACGATTAGTATGAAATCTGGGGAGGACACCTTCGCGATGTCGCGTATGAAGGCACGGAACAATGGAACAATGGTTTAGTACGGGTAAAAAAGCAATGCTTAACAAGTCCCGTGGGATGGAAATTATTTGCGAAATTATTGCATGAGAAAGTGAAAAGCGTTGTGGTGGACTCACCATAGACTTATGTGGAATAGCGGAGATGTTCGCGTTTTAAACGTATAAATCCATAAATCCATTGGTTAGGCGTTCGGCAAGACACCGTTTGATTGCGTTTTGTAGCCCCTGGCTAACAAGTCATAAAATGAAATGTAAGTGAGACAATGCATCGTCAACACGTTTTTTAAATGTCGCCAGATTGGGAGCAGAGACGACATAATTAGGGAGGGCGTTCCAAGGCTGGCACACGCGTAGGGAAAAGAAATTTCTGCGGCATTCAAGCCGGCTATACTGAATTGTCAGTTTCAGAGGGTGACCTCTTAGTTTAGTGTTGTGGTTCAATTCCAGCAGCGGACGGCAAATGTGGTTTGGGTTCTTCAGAATCTGTTAAACCATTATGAGATCCCCCGCAAAGGCCGATATCGACTGCTGTAGATTCTTAGAAATTTTAGTCTAAGCTGATAGGAGAGATGAAAGAGGCCCCTGAGGTTCTTGGTTGCCCTTCGTTGAGGAGTCTCGAGAGCAACAAGATCCTGTTTCTGCCACGGCTGCCACGCCTGAATAGCATGTTCCACGTGAGGTCGCACGTAGGCGTTAAGCATTTGGGGAAAGATTGAGGGTTCAAACCGACCGAAGACTGCGAAGAAGGCCGAAGTGTTGATTGCCGGTTCTCGTCGCCTTCTCTGCTTGTTTTGAACACCCAAGATCTTCCTCTACCAATACACCCAGGTCATGCTCCTGAAAATCCTTCGCCAAGGTGTGGTCTCCAATCTTGTAAGCGCTCATCAGCTGGTGACGCAGATGTATCACTTTGCACTTAGCTATGTTCAATTGAAGCTTGTTCCTCTTTGACCATTCGTAAATGCAATCTAAGTCATGTTGGAGCAGATCCTGATCTAGATTGTTACTAATCGCCCGCCATATCTTGACGTCATTGGCGAAAAGCAGGAAATTTGAGGAGACGACTCTTGCCAGGTCGTTGATAAACACCAGGAATAAGCGCGGTCTCAGCACTGAGACTTGTGGGACAGCACATTCCACCTCAGTTGGGTTAGAGAGTGATCCCTTGACACGTACTTGAAGCTTCCGTTGGTGAAGGAAGCTGCCAATCCAATCAAGTACAGGATTTCCGATTCCGTAGATCTGTAGCCGTTGAAGTAGGATGCGGTGATCAAGGCGGTCGAAAGCTTTGGAGAAGTCCAGATAGATGACGTCGACTCCGACCCCATCATCGGCCACTTCCGTCCAACTATTGCAATCAGTAGGTTGGTGGTGCATGACCGGTGTTGACGGAAGCCATGCTGTTCCGGTACCAAGATGTTGCATTTTCCAGGTAGCTCATTAAAGCTTCAGCGACGACTGCTTCCATCCTCTTCGCGAGCACAGGGAGGAGAGTCATTGGACGATAGTTTGCAGGATCTGAACAGCTACCGCCTTTAAAAATTGGGGTGATAATGCCACACTTCCACACAGTGGGGACTTGTTGTTCATCTAAGCACCTTTGGAAGAACTGTGATAGTGGTTCAGCTAGCTTGGTGGCCACAGCCTTCAGTGCCTTCGGGCGGATGTTGTTTGCTCCCGAAGAACTATGCTCACGCAGTGAGAGTAACTTCCTTGGCACAATTGATGGGTTGAAAATTACATTTGTAAACAGTGGAGTCTGTAATGTGCATTACATTATGGGACAGGTAGAGGTTGCGAGTTCGAAAATTGGGGCTTATTGTAGCCGCAGGGCATTAGCTACTTCTTCGGCACTTTGTACTCTACCGCCTGTCGTGAACAATGGAGGGATTCCATGCTTTACTTTGCGAAGGTTGTTGACATGCCTATAGAGCAGTCTGTTGTTTGCCATGAATTTGGTGGCTAGGCACTATTGATAAGTTACTTTATCCTCACGGACATGTGCAGTGCGATGGTTGCGATGGGTCAGGATGTTGCCACAAGCCTCTGAGTCGGGGTTAATCTTGTAAGCACGCCATGCTGAATCCCTTATCGCCAGGCATTTTCGAGTCCTGCACCTTAGAATTGAAGGCATTTTTACAGGACGAAGGGACATGGTATCTGATGCTCTGTAGACAATGTCTATGAATCTATTAACGAACTCTGTCCAAACGTTGTCAAGGGGACTGTTGTTTGAGAATTCCCAAGCAGCTGCGTCGGCGAGTTCTTTCAATACGTGGTAGCGTGTGATTGTATGAGTTAGTTCCGAGTGTTCAGCTGGATACTCTGCATAACACACATAGTTAAAAGTTATTACTACTTGGTCCCTTAGACCTAATGGACTATCCATCAATAACTTGTCACCCATGAGCTCTTCGTTCGTGAGCACAAGGTCCAATATGGACGGTTTGTTTACTGTCCTGAATCTAGTGGGCGTGGTGACATGATTGTACAAAGGAATATTAGCGATCAGTTCATGCAAGTCTGCTTTGCACCGCTCACGGGCGATGCCGAAACCTCCAGATTGTGTAGATTGAAGTCCCCGGAAATGAGAATGTGGCTGTACCTAGTGCTTGTTACTCTGTTTAGGCCACGGATCAAGCAGGAATCCATTTCCGGAGTGGACGTTGGGGGGCGGTAAACGACAGCTATGAGACATGTGTCGTTGTGTCTTAGTCGGAGATGACACCAGAGTGAGTCGGTAACGTGTGTTTCCAAATCATCAACTATGTTACATTGTAGATTGCTGCGGTAGTAGAGTAGGACCCCACCTCCTCTGCTAGGGCGGTCGTTCTGGATGAGTGACATTCCGGCTATCTCAACCTCAGCATCAGTCACCTCTTGGTGTAACCAAGTTTCGGTATTGGAAATTAGGTCCCAAGCATTCGCAACCTGACGTAGTCGAAGTTCGGTAAGTTTACTGAGGAACCCTTGGGCGTTGGTGTACATACATGAAAGTTTCTCAGATTTAATCAATGTTGCGGAGGTTGTACAACTCATACGTGAAGTTTCGCCGACCAGTGAGTGGCCGGCGACTAATCGTTTTTTTGATGTGTACTTGGTGAAGGGTTTAACGTCTTATTCATCGTCCGTGTAGTTAGTCTCGCGTCTATTCTTCGACGTACAGTGTAAGGTGTCTGGTCAATGTCATATTCTACAGGTTGTATGGGCTCATTCGGCACGCTACTGGTGCCTTGTTCTTTGGTAGATCCCTTCGCGTTTGGTTCTTTGAGTGACATATCATCTCTAGGAGGCATATCGCTGATTGTCTTCAGCCGAACCTCAGACGGTAGTCTGCAACGGGACATGTACCAGCTTTTTAGTATCCGTGCTACCATATGTTTTGGATGAAGGACCACCTTCAACACTCTCGGGCCACTTCCTTTATAGTTCGGTGAGGTATGCAG